AGCATTGAAGATGGGTCGTGGCTGGGTCTTCCAGCATGACAATGACCCCAAACACACAGCCAGGGCAACTAAGGAGTGGCTCTGTAAGAAGCATTTCAGGGTCCTGGAGTGGCCTAGCCAGTCTCCAGACCTGAACCCAATAGAAAATCTATGGAGGGAGCTGAAACTCTGTGTTGCCCAGCGACAGCCCCAAAACCTGAAAGATCTGGAGAAGACCTGTATGGAGGAGTGGGCCAAAATCCCTGCTGCAGTGTGTGCAAACCTGGTCAAGAACTACAGGAAACGTCTGACCTCTGTAACTGTACACAATGGTTTAGGTACCAAATATTAAGTTGTATCAAATACTTAAATTAATTATTTAAAAATCTAACGTGATTTTCGGGATTATTATTATTTTTTTTTTTGTAGATTGTCTCTCACAGTTGAGGTGTACCTACAGAGAATGGACAGTTCTGTAATTTTCATCGTAAGTGGGAAAACTTGAAAAATCGGCGGTGTATCAAATACTTATTTGCCCCACTGTATGTCTTTCTGTATATGATTACCCATTGTAAGTAAAAACAAATTGGGAAACGATCTCTTCCTCTCTTTAACAGTGATTATGCTTCAGTTTTCCCAGAAACAACAAAATGGAACTAACATCTGTCCCCGCTCTTGTGTCATCTCATTCCACAGATGACTGTTGCATGTTGAGGAGAAATGCTACAGTGCATAGTGGCAGCATGAACTTAAAGATAGAAAGATAAACCAACTCAATGATGAAATATAAACATTTTCAAAAAGAGGATGATTGAAGCAGAAGCTCTCAAGGGAACCACTGGAGCTGACTGAAACATAGACCTTTATGGAAAGGAGGATTTTGGACTGTTGCCTAAGTGGCTGGCTGAACTAGCCTGGTATGGTCCCTGTTTTTTTTGTTTGGTCCACACTTTGACCTGTGAGCAGCACCACTAATGACTCTTTGTCCACTCCAGTGAGATCTCGCTGGGTAACTCCACAGGTTTCCTGCTAACTTATTGTTTTCAGTCTCAACACTGGTCTTAAAGGGGGTGTCACTGGTTACCCTCCTGCCTCGAAAGCCTAATTCCACTCCCCATGCCTGCCCACTGGAAGGACTGACTGACTTAAATGGAAAGGACTGGAATGGACATTTAGTTATCCCATCACTTCTTACATAAATATATTGCCCCACCCCACTCCTTCTGTCTTTGGTTTCTTTTGAATGGCTGTAGTCCCTTCATTATACTGAATATAGGGGGTGGAGGCTGACATCGGAATGACTATTGTTTATGGTTTAACCAGGTAGAGGAGCTGTAAAGTCTGTGGATTTGAAAGCCACTGAACAATATGTGAACAATAATGTCTGCCTG